TCCAGCCTTCAAGAGATTTAGTCACTCAAGTCAGCTGCAGGCTCATCCAATATATCAGCGCCTTGCTCCCATTTCAGTCGTAGGGCCTTATTATTTTCGCATCTATTGATCGTTTTTGTGCATCGTCAAATTCTCCATGTGTTCGCTTACTAAGTCAAGTATCTGTAGCTCGAGGAGGAGTTTTAGCTTTGTCACTTGTATCGATTATATATATGAGTGGATTTCTCGTCATCGTAGATGTTCTACATCTTCCAGACACCAGTATTTGCATCCAGTCCATGGAGTCGGCCGCACAAATATATGCATTAAGTGTGTTTTTTTTATTTTGCCATCGTATCTCCATTTTGTATGGTTCGCTTCGGTTCATTAACCATTGTTAATATTCGAATGCAAAAACGTCGTGTTGGTCCTGCATTAAATCAAAATCGTCGCACAGACACTCAATTGGCTCTCATGCTCATTAGTCAAGTGTCCGCTCTAATCGTGTTCAATCTGCCGTTCGGTATTGTTTTTTTTATGAATGCGTTCATGTCTGAAGAACAAGCAGCAAATGCTTCACTTGGACTGGCGATAGCAGCTACCAATATGTGGCAAGGCTTTTCTGATTATATATCATTCTTCTTATACACGCTCACAGGAAGTTTATATCGAAAAGAACTCATTGACATTCTGCGCAAATGCTACAACCGTTTACGAGGACAATAGCTACTAGTCAACTATTCTTAATGACGATACTTCAATTCTTTAAACTGAACTTTAATCTTTGAATCAGAGACAAACGGAAACTTTTTTTGTATATATTATTCACGTCAACAGTTTATCTGGATGACACTTGTAAAGAAATAAATTGCTCTTGCCGTCGATGTGAATCGAAAAAGTGTCGCTATAAACAAAAAGACGTATTGACGATTATTTTTGTATAACAGAAGAAATTCATGAAGAATTTCGTTGAGCAGCGTTTCTTCCTCCGTAAGCTCCATAAATTAGCATCGTCATTCTAATTATGTTGCATGATGTAAAAGGTTGTATTATGTCAACAAACTCTGTAAAATGGATGCCAAAATGTATTGGCCCAGGTCAACCAAAACGTTAACCGTTACCGTGGCGTTCACGACAGTCTACGATGCAAATATGGATATATTTCCTCCGTTTACGGGGAAAGTATGTCCTTTATTGGGCCGAATTGTCCCGTAATAGCAAGACCAGTAATCGTTTTTCTTACCGGTTACCTCAGTATATGCATTGTTTTTTCATCGTCTACGATTGTTTATGGTTCGCTTTCCGAGCCATTCCAACCTATAGATGATCCTAAAATTTGAACTATGGGACCATCTACAACATCCCAGGACGAAAAAACCCAGACTCGGACCCCATCAGATCCTTCTGGTTTTCTGTTGTGACGCCATAAATGTCTAGTACGGCTTCGTTTGCAGTCGTTTATCCTATTTATTGCACCCATTATCGAAAAAGCAGATGAAACTAAAAAAATCTAATTAATAGTTACTGTTCCTTGAACTGATGAAACATAAACATCTAAAGTAATGAAACAAATAAAATCAATGAATAATACTTACTGTTCATTGGGATGGCTAGATGATCTAAACAAAGGAAAGATACAAATTACAATGAAAAATATAATGATTTGCCTACAGCAAGTCGAATAGTGATGTCTTTGATAGATGTTTATTTAGATTTAGGACACTGTATTGTGATGGATAATTATTACTCTTCACCAAAACTATTTCTAGAACTAGTGAAAAGAAACACGGACGCTGTTGAAACAGTTCGCGCAGATGGAAAAAATCTTTCAGTTGATTCCAAAGACTTGATATTGGAAAAGAATGAACGGATCGCAGGATATTACAAAAAAGTGATGGCATTGAAATGGCACAATACGAAATATGTGCATATGTTATCTACATGCCATAAAAGCACTATGACAATAAGTCACAAGAGACAAGCTCAAGCTGAGAAAACAACATGTGTTCTTGAATATAACGACACCAGGGGCGGGGTGAATATGATTGACCAAATGGTAGCCTCTTACTGTATTCCTCGAAAAAGGTTGAAGAAATATTATAAGAAAATCTTTATGGTTTTATTTGATTTAGCTATATTAAATTCTTATCATCCGTATAAAATAAAAACCCAGGAAGCTAGCAATGTCGCAAACGGCACAACTCCAATTCCGAATAGCTCTTGTTCGCTCTTTATTAGAACAAAACCTACGGGAAAATCTTTCGGGGTATTTAGCCAGGTCCGAAAGATCGTCAAATGAACCTACACCAGCACGGTTAGTTTCACAGCATATTCCATCTATAGTTCCTTCAATCGAGAACAAGCAATATCCAACAAGACGTTGTTATATTTGTGCTCATACACAGAATGAATTTGATCGCATAAGACGTGAATTGAGGTACGAATGTGCAAGTTGTAACTTTGCACTTTGCGTTGATCCGTGTTTTCGTGTGTATCATATCTTGCATCAAAATTTGATTACTGAAATTAAAAAAATACTTAACGGTTAAAAGGATAATTGGAACCTGATCACAACTAAAGTTGAAAAACAACAAAAATTGAATATAGGGCATATCTTCAGATAATTAAGATTGAAGAAAATGATCACAAGGCACGAATCATTTCTTATCTGTTGGATTCAATTCATTGAAAACCATTCGGGTAATGTAAAGAATTAGATATATTGATCAACCTCACACAGACTCTCAATAATAGAACTAAACAAGTAAATCGATGATTCCCCTTTACCCGACTTTCACCTTCTAGGTCTTATTTAAAACCTCATTTTTTATCTCTATTCTTTTATTCGTTTTTTTATGCTCGTGTTACTTTTTCTTTTCTATTCTTTTGTGTTACAAGCATCCTTAGACATAATAAACACTTGCAAACTCAAAAAAAAAAATATCGCGTTTTTTCTCTCTCTCACTCTATCAATAAATATACATGCACATCCAGCAATTCGAAACATTTTACAACCATTGATTAAAAAGGTAAGCCGCTGTAATAAATCTTACTTCTACTTTGTTCTTCTCTCCTTTGTTAGTCCTACTTCTCAATCTATCTTCTACTAAATGTATATGGGATTTATATATCCCTATGATCTCTGTAACTTATGTAACATCGATTCTTGTATGTTGACTATCTCTTATTGTCACATTCTAACGGAAAATATCAAGTTAAGAGAATTAAATGTGAAGATGAGTTGATGAAGCACTGTGAGAACATTGAGTCAATGGCGCTTCCCTTTTTTATGCTGATCAGTACCTAGCTCCGTTACTTAATGAATTTCGACCTTTTATTTCAACACTAATATTATTACAAACACGTGCACACACACCTAATGTCCACCTCCACCTCTTTTCAAATGAATTGTACATATATATATTGAATAGAGATAATTACACAAGATTTTACGAGAAGCGTGAAATAGTAATATCATTGAAGTATGATACCAAATGTGCGTGATATCAGGCAGATGGAACATCCTATAATATCGTAGTGCGGTGCTAGAACAAATGGTCGCGGGACAAATCGTTGTAAAAAAATGTTGCATGGACAAAATGTTGCAATAAGTTCTGGTTAGTTATGCACCAGTGTCAGGTAACTGCGTCCCCAGTCTCCCGTTTTGGTGAATAATAATTGTACATCATCAACTTTTTTTTGGAAAGTAAGAATAAAGAATGAAACAAAATAACAAGGGACCACTATGGTTTCTGGAGAACCTTTGAAAAGTGAATGGGAAATGGGTTTACGGATTTACAAGATGTACTAAAAATTTTCTACTCTTACAACAGAAGAATTTTTTATACTAAAGTCTTTCAAATCCTATTAAAGGAACTGGAGTTCTGCATTAAACTACGAGTGTTTCATTTTTAGAAAATCTTTTGTCACTCATGTAATTCATCACTAGTTTCTGCAAAACTCTTTCGGATATGCGCGAAGAAAAACCTTTGTGAATCTTGTAAATACAGGAATCCATTTCCAATTGAATTTTCAAAGGTTATCCAGAAACCACAGTGTCCCTTATTGTTTTGTTTTATTCTTCATTCCTACTTTGCAAAAAAAAGTTGCTGATGCACAATTATTATTCATTAGAGCTTATTGAAACATTTTGTCCGCAACGATGTGTTCGGTCACCCGTTATGCGTCTCGACGCACACATAATAATGAAACCAGTAATGACTACTTTTCCTCATAAACAAGGACGAAACGTCGGGCGATGCTTATCGTATAATATCTTACATCGACTTGATGATGTCCGAGTAAAACAGAAACAATCATTTTTTGTGGATGACTCTATTTCTACTCACCTTTCTGTGAAAGAAATCTTTGATTATATATATTGACATATATTGTTAACTAATGACTGCGCATTTTGTTAATTCTATAATAAATTGAATGTGCAAAAAGTAATGTAAAAGACACGCTAGAATTAAAGAGGAATGTGCATAAGTTAAATAACTCGATAACAATGACAGGTAGCGGCCTGTATTTTTCCGCAATCGAAAGAGGAGAACTCAGGATGTCTTTCGCTCCGATACTTTACAAGACGAAATTCTGTTAAAACGGACATTCCGACATGTAAGTTGTCTGATGCATTGTTCTTACTAATTTTTTTATTCTATCTGAGAATTTTATTTAACAAAAATGGATCACTTCGAAATGATTTACTTTTCTAGACTATAATAGTTAAATTTGACTCTATTCCGTTCTTCATTATGTTAGTGTATGTTTTTCAAATTATCCTCACTGCGGCAAGTCTTCGTGCTAATGATAAATTTACAAGAACAAACAATAACGATTTACAAAAATGTCTTTCATCGTCATTGCCATTATCGATACGTACTGTTTATCCATGTAGCACATTAACAAATCAAAAGAATTCTCAATACCAATGTGATCATTTCAATGTTAGTGGATTGTCGAGTGTTCGTGGTGGTCGAATTTCTCATTCGCCTGCTGTTATTGTTTATGCAACAAGCAGTAGCGATATTCAAAATGTGGTTAAATGTGCAACAAAACTGGATTACATTGTGAATGCATTAGGTGGCGGTCATAATTATGAAGGCTATGGTTTAGGTTCAATGTACAACAATATTATTATTAATATGGAAGCAATTAATTACATCAATATTAATCAACATGATAGAACTGGCACATTTGGAGCTGGTGCAAAAGTCGGTCCAATCTATTACAGAACATATCAATATGATAATTATACAATTAACGGTGGATCTTGTGCATGGATGGGAGTGGCTGGTAATGCACTTGGCGGTGGCTATGGTTATCTTGTTCGATTATATGGATTATTATCCGATAATATTTTGGAAATGAAAGCTGTTAACGCTCAAGGTCAATGTATTTCAGTTATCTTTGTTTATTGAGTAGTTAGATGGAGATTTTTTAATTTTCGTTGATAAATATCTATGAAATATTTTTTTTAGGTGAATTATTGACAATAAATGAAACTCATGAACCCGAATTATATTGGGCATTACGTGGTGCTGGTGGAGGTTTGTTTGTTATTGTGACAGAATTTAAATTTCAATTAGTTAAATCTCCGTCACTTGTCACGAAATTTTCATTTACTTGGGATGCGAATGTAACAAAATTAGTAATACAAAAATATCAATCATTGTTATTCAATGAGAAAATATTCAATATAAGTAATAATATATTTTGGCAAATGCATGTAGATAATATTCATACAGTCATTTCAATATGTTATTTTGGTATCGAATTAGAAGAGTTTAATAAAACTATATCGTTATTATTAGCAACGTTACCAATTCCAAATAAAACTGATGTATATAAACAAGATTGGTTGACTTTTGTTTATGAAAGCTCAGGTATTGATGATCCTACGGGTGATCATCAACAATTGTTACTTGAGAATTTAACATATCCAACATCTTATTTTAAAGCTAAACATTTATTTTATGATCAACCGATAAGTGATCATAGTCTTGATCAATGTATTGATCGATTAGCGTTAATTGATGGTCAAATTGCTATGTCATTTAGTCCTTGGGATGGATATTTAAATATAATTCCAGTTGATAAGACTGCATTTCCATATAGACGTTTTAAATTTGGTATTCAGTTCACAATTTCTTGGAATGATGGACAACATGAAGAAGAACAAATGAATTTTTTAAATGAAGTATATTTGACTCTCTACAGTGACTCAACAAAACATTCATATATTAATTATATTGATAGAGATGTACCAAATTGGATGAATGCTTATTATCATACACATCAACAACGTTTAATTAATATTAAAAATATTTATGATAAAAATAATCGATTTTATTTTGAAAAAACAATAGAATCAATTGGAGGAAATCATAATCCATTTATGAACCTTTATTTTGCAAGCTTTACTATATTTGTGTTTTCCATTATATAATAAAAAAATTTCTCGTACTAACAAAAAACATTTCTCTACAATACCATCCAATCGGATTCTTAAAATATTCAAGATAAACGAATTAATAGTAGTGATCATCCTGAACGCCCCCCAATCAATGTATTGTTTTCTTCTGATTATCTCACCGATCGATCATAGTTGGTAACTGAATAATATAAATGATAACAGATAGTTTGACCAAGTCGATCTTGGGAAAATGGTTTGCTGTGACTGTTTTTGGACAACATATTGAGATTTTTAATTAAGATTTCGTTTGATGGTGTTTATCAATGTTCAATTGAAGATGAATGGTAAGGAGAAAGCACAATAGAATCTTCAAGATCACAGTGAGAACACCTACCATAACATGTTTCACCTCACCAACGAGGATCACTAGATGATAATAATCTCTATCATTTGAAAAAAAATCCCAATAGATTTAATTTAATCAGTTACATAACCTTAGAAAATAAAGGTATGTAAAGACAATTTCACTTCATATTAGGTAGAATAGTTATTATGATGCGTTTCACTGCTACTTTCCAAGTCTGATTGTGGATGATCCTGCTCACTATTTCTCTTCAATCTCATTTGTTTAGATTTACCTCGAAGAGAAGCAATAGTGACAAAATTGCTTTTATACGCCTAATCGATGGTCGGATTGATATGAAAAAGAATGAGCGTTACATCCCGAGTTGAGTACAGTACAATATTTACTTTCACTATTCTTTCTTTATTTTATTTTTCTTATTGTATAGTTAGTTACAATCTGTTCAAGTATTTGAAATGCAGCGTAGTAAACAATATCGACCAAAATTGTCATCTTCTTCTCCATTTGTCCATGTTGAATTTCAATTATTTTCTGTTAGTCACATATCCGACTATCGCCTTCAACTGAGCATTGAACCAATACAATTTCTCCATAACACTGTGAGTAAAAAAGAATATAACAACCCTTTGCTCATAAAAGCTTGGAATGACGTAGCTATGTCAAAGGAAAACACTGAAGTGTACTAGTGGGTGTGGGTGTTGAGTTTTAATTCAACTCACACCCACACCCTTCTTTATTTGCCGTTGCTCCTGAAAAAATTACGCGTTCGATAAGCATAATACTCTTACGAGATTAAAGTCTCGCTAGAAAATTTAAAACGCTGTCCATTATACAAAAAAGAAAAAAATCACTTCTCAACAAGCTTCTATTCATCGAAAGAAAAGTCAGAATTGAAAACGAACTGAACTGTACAAAAAAAACTACTATGAAGTCCTTTTTTTTCAAGTATAATTAGAACAATTTCACAATTGATGCAAGTTTCCGTACGTTGTTCAGAATTTTTTTCTTAAATTTCTTCAGACGAAGTAAACATAATCGGACTTTCAGTTTCAGATTCTCTTCAAAGTTTCATTTTGGTATCCGTTTTCAAACAGCGATACTTTCACTGTTTTTCTATGAATCATCACTCAATAAAACAATTTCTATATGTAACATCAATAAACCAATTTTATTTCGTTTCTTGAGCCTCTATAATGACGTCCATGTTTTCCCTTAATTCGTTAAAATTCCTTAAACGGTGCCCACACCCACAGCCACCCCAACCTCAAAAAAACCAGTTCGATTATAGGGAACATCTGCTTAAAATTCTTTTATATTATAATTGAAGTGGGTAAACCACGGACGATGGACTCGATTTGGTTTACTTGTGACGACCTGAATGCACAAGCAAGCAAACAGACAACTTACTTTTGCCGGACTCTTTTTCTTTCATTCTGTTCTTTGAATCATTTGTATGCTGTGGAAAGATATACGATATTCTCCTTTTTTCTTCTTTTCGTTCTTTAGTCTTTCTCACGTTATGACGCACGTGTTGGGTTCACTCTAGTTCGTTTTTTTCTCATAAACTAAATCCGACAGAATTTTTCGAGATTCGCTCACGCATGCTTAAACATTATCATTTAGAAAAATAAATGTACTAATTTTAGATGCCTTCGAATAGTTTTATTCGTGCATTAAGATCAATAAGAGACTTTATATTTAAGAGATTTTTCGGAAGAATAATAAAAGCATTATTTGAATGTTTAATTACACTTCTATTTATACAATTACCAGGATTTTTTTATTATACAATTACATTCGGAAAACATGACGAGAAAAAAGAAAAGCAAACAAGAATTCGAGCAAAATTAACCCATGATTCAGATCCGTCATCACCATATAGAGCTATGGAAGTACTTGATGAACTTCAAAATCAACCAGAAGTGGCAGTTACAACTCTAGCTGATATTCCTGATTTATGTTTACAACGTTATACAGACAAAGAAACAATGGGCGTCAGAGAAATTATTGATGTCAACGAGGAAAAACAACCAAATGGAAAAATTTTCAAAAAGGTTATTTTAACTTTTATTTTAATTTGAATTATTCTATTTTAAAGAAATTCTAGTTTTCATTTGGTGAATATAAATTTACAACATATCGAGAAGCTTGTTCACGTATTGATGCAATTGGTCGTGGTTTGTTGTCCATTGGTGTTAAACCAGGTGATAAAGTTTTACTTTTTTCTGAAACACGTCCTGAATGGTTATTAAGTGCATTTGCGGCATTTCGACATAGTTTAACTGTTGTTACACTTATACCAACTTTAGATGAAGAAGGAGTTAAACATGGAATTAATGAAACAAAAGTTCAAACTATTATTACTTCACAAGAACTTTTTCCTAAACTTGAAGTAAAAATAACTTTTCCAAAATAAAAAAATATATGTTTGTTTATTTAGAAAGTCTTAGATCAAACAGATAAAGTTCGTCACATTATTTATTTTCCTGCTCGTGCTAAACAAGAAGCAGCTAAATCACCACCAGAGAAAAAAAATATTGAATTTATTCCATTAGCTAAATTTGAAGAACAGGGGAAGAATGTAAATATTGGTATGTTAATCATTTATGTTCTAATTTTTCCTTCATTTTTTTTGTTAATTAATCTAGATGAAGAAATTTTAAAAAAACGACCTAAGAAAGAAGATATCGCTGTTATTATGTACACTAGTGGAAGCACTGGACCACCAAAAGGTTAGTTGCTTCTATATATTTCACAAAAAAAAAAACGTCAAGTTACTTGTATTATAGTATTATCATAATCAAGCTTTGTTTTTATTTAGAAATCTAATTTATTTATTACAACGAAAGATCAAATCCAACAGGATCTTTTTCTAGATGAATAGAACTGATTGAAGCAAACGGTATTGTGGAGGTTATTAACCACCTATTTTGACAAGTCCTCAGCTAATGGACCATTTGAAAGAAATGAGAGAATTTACGATCATCTAGTTTGTGTTCGGTCTCTGATTACAACATCAACTGATCAATGAGAAAGTCGACATAAGAGAAAAGTGATTTTTTTTTAGAGAATAGCACAAATTACAGTTGTCCGAATAGAATAATAGACTGATGAATGAACATGTTTCGAGAGCGATTTATATTTCCTAATACTATCGAACACATTTTCTCTTAATAACGGTAACTAAAATGACATAATGCTAATTTGACTAAATTAGGACTCACAGTGTTGAAACTGATCGGATCCGACAGTTAGATCCGATAAATTCCCTCGGTCATGCACTAGTATTGATTAAATCGATGTTTATAAAATTTGTGGTAATCAAGGTTCTGTCGACAAAATCTGCTATGATGATTCAATCCCCAATCATTAAGTTTTAAATTCATTGCATTCATATCTAACAATAATATCCTTGCCATATACCGGAAGTTTTCAATTTTTTTCGAAAAAGTTTAACAGATTCATCTCGTTTACTTAATAGATAATTCTTATTTATAGGAGCATCCATAAGACATGGGAATGTTGTTGCTGCAATAACTGGACAAAAACAACGTGCTGCTCCACTGATTGATGTCGACAATGATATCTTCATATGTTACCTACCATTAGGTCATATATTTGAGCTTTGTTGTGGTTTGTTTATTCTTAAAAAAGCCTAACTGAAATTGAAAATTATTTATATATTGAAATAGAAACTCTTATGTTTTATATGGGCATTAAAACTGGTTATGGATCTCCTCAGACATTAACTGATCAGTCAACATCTGTTCAAAAAGGTCAGAAAGGAGATTTACAAAGTCTCCAACCACATTTAATGAATTGTGTACCGGTAAGAAGATCTTATTTGAGTGTTTTGTTTATCAAATTATGTCTTGTTTAAGACCATTCTTGATCGTATACATCAAGCTGTTTATGGAAAAATAAAAGAATCAAACTTTTTTCTACGTCAGATATTTAATCTGCTTTATACAATAAAACTCAAACGTTTAGAATATGGTCTTCAAAGTCGAATACTTGATCTGTAAACATTTTTTATTATTAATTTAGAAAAATGAACATATACATATTTAGATTGATATTTTCTCGTTTTAATAAAAAAGCTCTTGGTGGTCGAGTGAAAGCAGTGATGTCTGGTGGTGCTATTTTATCTGAAGACACTCAACGTTTTGCAGAATGTGCACTTTGTGTGCAAGTTTTACAAGGTTATGGTCTAACGGAAACATGTGGTGGTGGAACTATTGCTGATCGTAACTATTTATTCATTTTTTTGTGGTCTATTTATTTACTAAATATGATTTAGATTATGATATAACAGTTGGTCGTGCAGGATATCCAATAATTTCAGCTGAAATTCGTTTGATCGATTGGGATGAAGGTCACTACAAAACTTCCGATAAACCAAATCCACGAGGAGAAGTTCTTATTGGTGGAAAAATTGTTGCTGATTCATATTTTGGTGATGCAGCAAAAGAAAATGACAATTTTAAAGAAATAGAAGGAACAAGATATTTTTTTACTGGTGATATTGGAGAAGTTCTTCCTGATGGGACACTTAAGATTATCGGTAAGTTGATTTAGTGAAACATAAACTAAAACGAATAGCGAAGAGACACCTATTTGGATGTTTCCAGACTTGATTGACATTGCCATGGAATGTTACAAACATGAC